GATATTAAATACGGAAAGAGTCACCAGTTTTTCTGGTTGTGAAAGCAAAAACTTGGATAGGTAGTAGATAGGTCTGTCTGCAGAGCATAACACTTCCTTTAACAATATTTGGTCAGGTCACAGAATCTGATTTAAGAGGTGCCACTACAGAGCGTGTCAGTGGGCAGGTGTGTAATAATTTCTCACAGAACAAACTTTGGTTTCCTGCAACAAAATAATTATTCCTTGATCACAATACAACATTATGACATAATCTTCTTATAAATAACTTCTCAGATTTGGGAATAACGCTCTCACCTTCTTATGTGGACATTGCAGAATAATTTTTCTTCAAAGATTGTGATTGTGTTAATCAAAATATTGCAATATGACTAAGTGCAAAATCCAAATCGCAGGAGCAGCAATTTTTTGATAAAGGTAAAATGTGTTGCAACATACTTTTTAAATGAAGCACATTGGTGCTAGAGATGCCCCAGTCTACAAACAATATTCTCTAGACGTGCGGCAACATGCAACAGATAGACAGTCTACTAGAATGCATCAAGACCAAAGGTAGGGGAGACCGGGGGCAATTGTAACATTTTTTACATTTTCCTTAATAACTCACAGACTACTAGAGATACACAAGTCATCTTTTGATACAAGAAACACATATATGTGCACTAATTAATAATGTAATTGATATATTTTCACTTCACAATACTATAATAATTAATTAAATGCAAGAAGTCAGAGTGTTGAAAATAAGTCATATTAACCCACTGTATGTCAAGTAAAAGCCTAGGGCTACCTCAAAGTAATTAGTTTACTGCTAATGTTACTTAAGAGTGTTTTTATATGGTTCAAATTATTTTAGATGTCAGGCATCCTCCGCTAAGTTCTCTGTTCTATCTTCATAAAATTGCTTTTCACAAGTGAACTAGTCATTCTCTTTGGTTTTGCTGGGTCTTATACAATCAACTACTTTAAATCCACTATACAGAAAAACTGAAATTGCAGACTTAGGCTTATATAACATTCACACTTTCTGTTAAACACATATACACTCACCTAAAGGATTATTAGGAACACCATACTAATACTGTGTTTGATCCCCTTTCGCCTTCAGAACTGCCTTAATTCTACGTGGCACTGATTCAACAAGGTGCTGAAAGCATTCTTTAGAAATGTTGGCCCATATTGATAGGATAGCATCTTGCAGTTGATGGAGATTTGTGGGATGCACATCCAGGTCACGAAGCTCCCGTTCCACCACATCCCAAAGATGCTCTATTGGGTTGAGATCTGGTGACTGTGGGGGCCATTTTAGTACAGTGAACTCATTGTCATGTTCAAGAAACCAATTTGAAATGATTCGAGCTTTGTGACATGGTGCATTATCCTGCTGGAAGTAGCCATCAGAGGATGGGTACATGGTGGCCATAAAGGGATGGACATGGTCAGAAACAATGCTCAGGTAGGCCATGGCATTTAAACGATGCCCAATTGGCACTAAGGGGCCTAAAGTGTGCCAAGAAAACATCCCCCAAACCATTACACCACCACCACCAGCCTGCACAGTGGTAACAAGGCATGATGGATCCATGTTCTCATTCTGTTTACGCCAAATTCTGACTCAACCATCTGAATGTCTCAACAGAAATCGAGACTCATCAGACCAGGCAACATTTTTCTTCACAAATGCTTTTCTGCATACCTCGGTTGTAACGAGTGGTTATTTCAGTCAAAGTTGCTCTTCTATCAGCTTGAATCAGTCGGCCCATTCTCCTCTGACCTCTAGCATCAACAAGGCATTTTCACCCACAGGACTGCCGCATCCTGGATGTTTTTCCCTTTTCACACCGTTCTTTGTAAACCCTAGAAATGGTTGCCAAATCCCAGTAACTGAGCAGATTGCGAAATACTCAGACTGGCCCGTCTGGCACCAACAGCCATGCCACGCTAAAAATTGCTTAAATCACCTTTCTTTCCCATTCTGACATTCAGTTTGGAGTTCAGGAGATTGTCTTGACCAGGACCACACCCCTAAATGCATTGAAGCAACTGCCATGTGATTGGTTGATTAGATAATTGCATTAATGAGAAATTGAACAGGTGTTCCTAATAATCCTTCAGGTGAGTGTAAAACACAGATCATTTTATACAAAGAACATTGACCTATCTTAATTGATGATTTGTTTATACTAGAACAAATTCATTTCTTTTAATACACCCTTTTTTAATGTAGTTTTACATTTAAATTTAGTGAAATATGTCCACAAAAGTAGTCAACACAGACAAACAAGCTGCTTATCATGTGGCTTGGAACATCAGTGAACACAGTGTTACAATTGCCCCCGATGTTGCAGCCATGATAAAATCTTGTACGCCCGCTAGCCACAACTATACTAGCATAGTGTTAATTGTTAATCCATAACCTAGAGATGAAATCTATGTTTGTTTAAATTTGTAGTAATTTAAACTTTAGACAGCAGAAGAAAAATACTGCACATCCAAAAAGTTACTTTCATACCTCAAAATTAGTATTTTGTTAAAAACTTCTGCTGCGGTGAAATGATCCTGCTCCTTTTCCACAGGCAGAGAGAGAATCCCACTGAGCATGTGCAGTCATCACTCTAGCTTGTTTCTGTTGAGTGTGTGAAATTGAGTGTGTTACAATTGCCCCCTGTTACAATTGACCCCAGTCTCCGCTACAGTTTAGTCATATATGATTATTATTGGTAATGTAAAATAAAACATACAATTTGACACGTCACGTTTTCGTATTTTTATAAACTGCTTTCCCTTCAACATACTGCTCCGCTGCTCAACAGAGCAAATGATAGTCTATTATTCGCGACTTGTAACTAATCAGATGTGATGCTGTAGCGGGACATTGAGCAAGACAGACAGAGAGAAGCTGTTAGATCAGAGCTGAAGTAGCACATTTGATCCAAACTGTGAGTTTACTAAAGTGGTAACTGAAGGGAAAAACATTTGCATATATTTAGTCAATAAATGTATTTAACACAGTCACCAAATAACAAAATTACACCCAACCAGCTGTTGAATTGGTACAAAAATTAACTTTCACGCTAAACACAATTTGTCAATTTATGACATTAGTAAAAATTGACACCAGTAAAATAATATGTTAAAATAATATGTTTTTTTTATGTTTTCTGCTGTGTTTATCAGGCAGGCTGTGCAATGATGTCTGGGTTGGCTGCTCTGTGTCTCCTGCTCCTGCAGACAGGAGATTTGGGGTTTAGGATCCTACTTGATGTAAACTCTCTGAAATTTTCCGGGGGAGAAGAAAAATCATCATAGATGGATTATCAGCTGTGAAGGCCAGCAACAAGTTATAGAACTTTGGGGCAGCAAGAGAACAACTGGGAACAATCTTACACACTTTACAGGTACTTTCTCCTCGTTTTGTTTCCATTTTAAGTTTCTCACACAAATGTTAATCAGGTGCAGCAGTGTTATGCCATATGCAAATGTATCAAAACTGTATGCAATGCCATTTGTTTATCTTAGTGAAGAGGTTTGAAAAAACAATCTTGGTATTAAAAGATAATGACAGATGCTGTTTTTGACATGTTGTAAATATTTAACTTGTGTTCCTTTTTCAATAACAGGATTTCTACAGTCATAGCAACTGGGTGGAAATGGAAAACATACTCCCAAACTCAGATCAGACACCAGCATCGGTAACATTGCAGGTAATAGTTCATGTGATGTCAGTGTGTTTATCTGTCTTACCAAAACAAAGCAATACAGAGATGAAGAAAGATTTGATGTGATTAGAGAGATCATTTTACAAAACATAACACTGACAAAATATCTTGTGAATTTTCTTTTGCTACAGCTGAAAGCAGAGCAACCTGTCGCAACTGTAATGTAGACGACTGCACAAACAACATTTTGGAGGACATCCTGCAGGAAAAGTTACTTAACTCTGGATATACTGGTGTTTCCAAACCAAATGGTAAATTATTATTAAAATTTCTGCATACCTAAAGAATTGTGTTTAAATTAGAGTACCAATGCCATTTATAAAATTGAGAAATACGTTTGTCATTAGGCTCATATGTCAAAGCTCCATGACAACAAATAGCACCTGTGTCATCTCAATATGTGAAGAAAGTCACAGTCGACAGTGGTCAATGGTGGTCCCACGTTTGATTCTGAACTAATGACACACAACATTAGGGTCTGAGCTGCTTCTGATGGTGGCTGCACATCTGCTCGTACTGGCTGAGGCTGGATGTGGATCAACTGTGTTAGTACTGACTGACTAGTCTGACTTAAGATCATTTCTGAGTAGGATACTGAGTATTGAGAGTGATTTTTTTTTATGTTTAAGGAGTCAACTCACCCAAGTCATATTTTGAAAACAGTTTATTTTAGATTCAAATGGATTATCCCATCCTGAAATATATGTAAATATTTTAGTTGGAGACATTACTGCCATGTCCTGACTGAGATGCCTCTGTAAATACTGACTCAACTCCCCCCTGCTCTCCTACTTCTTTCTAATTTGACACACTATTTATAGAACATTGCACCCATTCCCATTACATTGATAATGAAGCTAATGCAAAGTTCACCACAGGTTTGCATGCATATCCATCCTAAACTGCAATACCTCTACAAAACCAGCAGATCAAGATATCATTATTATGAGTCATACTTAAGATCAAAATTGGTCGTAAGTCTGTTTTATAAATGAGACCCCTGGTTCACTCGCACTGTTCTCATAGTGTAATTGTAGGCCACAGCAACAGCTATTTTCAGAGAAAAAGCTCTAAAACTCACTGGACACTACCTGCTCAGTACCAAACAGCAGACAGACAAATGTAGAGACTAGTTGGTGAACATAGTGGAGCATTTAACAGCTAAAGAGCCAAATATTTGCCTCTGGAATTGATGGAGACCAAACACTGAGCTAAAAGAGAGTTCACATTTGACAGCACCAAATGACTTGATGAATGATTTAATTTCTTCCAGTGGTGAGCATCTACTGTATGTCCTTTGTGCAATGTATTATGGTAGAAACATGACCACATTACATACTCAAAAGCAGCTAGAATTAATTTGAAGTATAAATTTGGGACACAGCTCTAAAAATGTTTTTCAACTATTCGTGATTCCAGGACATCACCATAGTATTCAGATTTCATCCTCTGGGAACTATGAATGTCTGTACAAAATGATGAGTGCAATGCATTTATTAGTTGTTAACATGTTTTAGTCAAGACCAAAGTGGTGGACCCACCAGCAGACCAACTCTTTGGTCCCTACCATGCTTAAAAGCACAAGTTGAAAGAGAAGACGGTGAAAAGCAGTGTGGTAGTCTCTAAAAAAGATGAAGACATAAAGCTGTATGAAACATTTTGTTCCGTTTCTAATGCTGAACAGGAAAAATGCAGCCATAGAGGTACGCATGATATATCAAGTACAATTGAGCCTAAAGGTGGGATCAACAAAGACACGTTAAGCTCGAACCATGGACATCTCCACATTACAGCAGCAGATTTGGCAATAGCTGCAACCAGTGAGCTACTAGAGGACGTTCGAAAGGCTGCTGGTGACCGAGTATTCCTACAGTATGTAACCCCCATTCTGCATGTTTCAGTTACACTACTGTAAGAAGACAAAGGGATTTAATCTCTATTTTATATGTCTCTCTCCATTCCTTAGGATGATAGGAATCTCCAAAGGCTCCAGTAACGCTCTTTGTATGTTGTTGTTTTGGTTTATGGTGTGTGTATGTGCATACTTAACACTGTAGCTGAGCTGATTTGTTTAAGCTGTTCTGTGTATATAACGAGAGCAATGTAATCAAATTCCTCATATGTGTGCACATACTCTGCCATTACAGCTGATTCAGATTCTTAGGTCTTGATTGAAATAAAGCATGAGTGATGACGTTAAAGCAGTGAGGACTGTCACTTCCTAAATAATCAACAATAAAGTGGGAACATAGAATGAGCCCTCTGTTTACATACCTTTCACTGATCTAGGCAGGATCTTAACGCCCTGGACTGGACTCAAGTTTTTGTCCTCTGAAGTGAAGTAAAAGGGATGTTTGTTCTTCATCTACTTGCCTGCAAAACTGTAACTAACTCAATAAAACAATCCAGTGTGTCATGTTTTTATAGGCCTACTGATGATTAAAATAATTTCTTCCTCCTGAACCCCAGATTTTGGGCAACTGACAAAAACTATAGACCCCAAAGTCTGGGCCCATGTCCACCAAAGCGCTTTTCAGCTGCGTCTTTTTTCAGTTCATTCCAATGGGAGCGCCTCGTTTTTATAAGCTGGTAAAAACGCCAGCAGCGTGACGAGGCGTTGAGCGTTTTTCCAGGTGTCGTGCCAAGTTATCCCCGACAGAAAGTGTTTCCCCTGCCGCTGGAGCGCGCGTGCATTCAGCGGTGAAGGCGGACCTTCGACTTCATCAAAGTGAATGAAAAATATACCATGTGGATTGTTTAATCTATAGTTTTAGTTTTGTTTTATTAACGAGGTTTGTGTAGAGCAAGCTAGCACTTATAAACGTTTTTATAGGCTTACGTTATGTGTTACCGAACTTCGTATTATTTATTCATTGCACTCAACTGAGAATGTCTACACAAGACGAGCATTTAGTTTCACTCGTAAAGCAAACATTTATTTCGCGATAGTCTGGTGATGTTATAACTGACCACGTAGTCGATCACTTTGTCATGTTACTGCTACTCCAACACAACACTCAACAGCTCACACACTCCATCCTCAGTCCACACGCAGTGTTGAAGCAGATTCTGCTCAGTCCTGCTCTGGAACCCGACCAGCATCTCCTCGTCCTCTTTTCTCCACAACCACACTAATAATTGGTGACTCCATAACCAGAAACATCCATTTCTTTAACGCTACCACTCACTGATTTCCCGGTGCCACCACAGCTGACATTTTAAAAAAACTCCAGGACCTGATGCCGCTCCCGTCCTCCATCACAAGAGTGATAGTCCATGTCGGAACAAATGATACAGCTCTTCAGCAGTCTGAAAATCAGATTTTAACCATCTTTTTAACTTTTTAAAGCAGTGTGGAAAGTCCGTTTTTATCTCTGGTCCCATTCCCACAGTTGGTCGCGGTGCTGGCCGCTTCAGTAGACTCCTTGGCTTCCACGACTGGCTATAGTCCGCTTGCAGGGCTGACCGTGTGTGTTATGTGGATAATTTTTTATAGTTTCTGGCAAAGAATGTCTCTTTTTAAGACAGACGGACTTCACCCAAACAAACGGGGCTCAGAAATGTTAGCTGCTCACATACAGCATGTGGTGCGGTCCACACATGACTTACGTGATTGACTAATCATTCATGCAGCACACCTGGACACACCACCGGTCACTGAACAGATCTCTGGCTCACTGCCACAAACAACTGTCTCCACCTGCTGGCATGTAAAGCCGTCTGCTCCCAGCGCTGTTCCAAAGACTTCTATTCCTGTCATCATCACGCATAGACCAGTAAACCAAAATGTGCACATCCCACACAGAAATAATAGTAATCTCTTAAGGATTAGGACAACTGCACCAACTCCAGCACCTAGAACAAACACATTTAAAATGGCTCTCTTCAATGTGAGATCTCTGTCAAGTAAGACTTTTATCTTAAATGATTTTATCTTGTCTGCAAATCTAGATTTTATGTTTTTAACTGAATCCTGGTTGTAAATGAATGACTATAGCCAGCTAGCTGAACTGTGTCCGCCTCAATATGATTGTTTTAGTCAACCGAGGGTCAGTGGTCGTGGTGGTGGGCTAGTGAGCATGTATAGGGAAAATTTAAAATGTCATCAAGTACATTGTGATGAATATGAAATGACTTTTTAAATATGGCCACTTCTTTTAACTTCAAACAACATGTCCAAGGGCAAACCCAACCGTGTTCATACACTGGACTACATTGGGTTTTTACCCTGGGTGTCAGCATTTCCTCTGTGGAATTAGTGGACATGACCATATCTGACCACAGATGTATTGTTTTTAGCTGCGATTCGCCTGTTACTCATGCCGCCTCACCAAGCTCCGTGTGTTCTCGCATCTTTAATGAACAAAGTGTTTCAAAGTTTTGCGCATTCTTTCAGAGCCAAAGCCAACACCTGTCTGATTCCAACACCAATAATCTGGTCGATCACTTCAATCATATCTGCTTGTCGTCACTAAATATTACTGCTCCTCTAAAGGTTAGGCCTACGTCTAAAGCTAGTAAACAACCCTGGATAAATGAGCATTCGCAGCCTCAAAAGGGAATGCAGGAAAGCAGAGCACAGATGGAAAATATCCAGTCTCCAAGTCCATTACCTCAGTCTGAAGGATTTATTAATTAACTACAATAACATGGTTAAGGATGCGAGAACACACTATTTTTCTAAACTCATTACTACTTATAAACACAATCCCAGGTTTCTGTTTAAGACTGTGGATCAGCTGGTAAACCCAATCCCTCCTTGTGCCTCAGCTGGAAGTAATGATGACTGTGAATTGTTTTTATCTTATTTTACCAATAAGGTGGTGTCAATCAGAGCCTCTATTACCCCCGCGGCCTGTCTGGGCTTTTAAAACAGTATCACAAATGAGTGTCCTCCAGCCCACTTGATGGTAATACCTACAAAGTTTTTACTGAAAGTAATAGATTCTGTTGGGCCCCATTTGATCTCTGTTTTCAACAGCTCCCTATCTACTGGTTGTGTCCCTGATTATTTTAAAACGGCTTGCGTGAACCCACTTTTAAAGAAACCTGGTTTAGATCCCTCCCTCCCACATAATTTTAGACCAATTTCAAAACTGCCTTTTATTGCAAAGATTCTAGAAAGAATTGTGTCCAAACAGCTGCTCACTGTCCTGGAAAATAACAAAATATTTGAAAAGTTTCAGTCTGGTTTTAGGAAGTACCACAGCACTGAGACTGCCCTGCTTAAAGTCACCAATGACCTGTTAATGTCTGCTGATGAAGGCATGTGCTCAGTCCTTGTACTCCTGGACCTTAGCGCTGCTTTTGACACCATTGATCACAACATCATGTTAGACAGACTGAGGCACTGGGTGGGGATCTCTGGTACTGCCCTAGAATGGTTTTCATCCTACCTGTCAAATAGGAAGTTTTGCGTGTCTGTAAACAACTATGTCTCTTCGTTCTGTCCAGTTAAATATGGTGTGCCTCAGGGGTCGGTCTTTTCATTTTGTTTTCCTTGTATCTGCTTCTTTTCATTTTGTTTTCCTTGTATCTGCTTCCCCTTGGACATATTATCCATAAACATGGCATTTCTTTTCATATTTATGCTGATGACACACAAATATACTTGCCCGTCAGATCCACAGACCCTGGAATGCTGAGTTCACTTAACAACTGCCTTTGTGAAGTTAAAAAATGGATGTCAAATAATTTCCTCCAGCTGAACTCAGACAAAACAGAAAACCTGGTCATTGGGTCTCAGCAGATGGCAAATCAAATACTGCCATCTGCTGGTTCCCTAGTAAATCACATTAAGCCTGTGGCAAAGAACCTTGGTGTTTGGTTTGATAGTGATTTAAATTTCGAGCAGCACACCACAAAGTTTGTTCAATCATGTTTTTATGAACTTAGAAATATAGCAAAAATTCGATCTATGTTAACTTTTAAGGACACCGAGACCATTTTTACAGACTCCAGTCTGCTTCACCGATGAACACAGAGCTGCGGAGGAACATCTGGCTTCATGAGACAGTTTTTATATCGCTGTCACTTGATGTTTTTATACTGCGCCATTCATCTGCTATTGTGATAGCAATGCGCCAAGGTGCAAGCGCACGTAAATCTGATTACTTAGATCGTTCAAACTGGGCCCTGGGACTTCTTCCTCGCAGCAGAGGAGATATTTGATCACATTTTACAGTTGGTGTTGGAACAGCTTCAATAACAGGAGCCTGGGAACTTGTTGATCGCACCTGGTTCCAAATCAAGGCGCAGATCATTTATCATTAACTCAGACTGACACATCTCAGTAAACGGGTGTTACGACCCGTGAGATCTGTGGGCTGTGCGTTACTGTAGGTGTGTCTGTCTCTCTCTTGCAGGTGTGTACCTGTACCTGCTGAGTGTGACGTGGGGTGGAGCTCACAGCTGGGGCCGATTAGTGGCGATTAGTGGGCCACATAAGCAGAGCCAGTGGAGTGGTCTCGAACGTGACGTCTTACTTCTCACTCAATCACTCACCCTTCCTTGGGCTCGCATTATTCTGTGTGATTTACTGTGTGATCTACTTCGTGACTTGTAGGATGTGACCGTCGGAGTGCCGCTGGTAACTTTTCCTCGCGCCGTGAGGTCGGTGACTCCGTGGAGGCGGCATTCCCGATCAGTGGAAGTGTGGTGAGCGACGGGCAACCTCCGTGTGTGCTTTCCCAGTGCTGAGGGAGCAGCGGAGTCTGTGAGGCCTATTGTGTCGCATCGTATGTTGTTTGGTTACTTTATATAATTTGCATCGTCTCTTGTGTGGGCAGAGATCGTTTTTTGTTGATTAAACGCCTTTTTGTTTTGATTAAGAATAAATATATTAACTTGGCGCATGTTTAGAATCATCCTTGGTTTTTCCCACCCGGTTATTTATCTTTTGTTCGTCCCACACCCCTAGACAAGCTGGGGACCTAACAACGGGTCTCTTACATATTCAACCAAGGTACAAGTTTAATAAACACAAATGACAACGTAGGCTACAATTATTTACAATTAAGAGGTGGTGTGCCTTGACGTTCTAGTTTTAATTGCAAATCTAGTAAAACCAGAACTGAGCTTGATGATATATGATATAATATAATATACGATTTAGTCTTTATTGGGTTGCATCTACCGGTATTGATGGGTAGAGGCTACTTGTGCTAAATGATGATCTATGGCTACAAAGGTGCAAAGCCCC